GGAAAAAGGAAAAAGGAAAAAGGAAAAAGGAAAAAGGAAAAAGGAAAAAGGAAAAAAGAAAATTGCCATATGCTTTGTCCTGCAGGGGGCTCTGCAGCCTCAGGAATCAACAGAATTTCAAAATGTTGCTAGTCCATAAGAGGCAAATGGCCATATACAAAATGTCCTTCAAATTTGTCAGTCCTTAACAACCTCACCTTTAACCCCATAGGCCCATTGACTGGGCTCTGGCCTTTGATCCCTAATAAAGTCACTAACTGCAAACACATTTGACTCTTTCCATATCTTGTGATTGTTACTCATAATAGCTTAACGGGGCTTTTCTGCCAAAAACTTAGATTAGTTTTAAACCACCCAACTGTGAGGTTGGATTTTTATTTATTTATTTATTTACTGAAGGGGCTACCTTAAAACTCTCAGCATTTCAGCACGGGCTGCCCTAATTAATGAACTCACTGATGCTTCAATTAATTAATGGCCTAATTAATCCCAAAGTTCCCAATATTTCTGGGAAGTTTACTTTGATTACAGTCACAGCAGAACAGTGGTTTTCAAACTTGGGGATTTTAAGATGGGTGGACTTGGGCAATTATTGCAACCTGGGAGAGAATGATTTGGCTGTTTCACTTTAGAGGAAAGCCACAGCCTTTTCTATCAGCCTGAAGCCCTTTTGCAGAAAGGGAGGTGGAAAAATCTGAATTAATCCCAGCCCCCGCCTGCTTAAGTTTCTAGTCCTCTTGGCTCCAAAGGTAAGGTTTGCCAGGGCGGGAAGCCACGCAAGGGGATGTTCTCAGAACACAGATAGAGGATGTTTAGACTCCCCAATCAGGCTGAATTTGTGGGTCTCTCCCTGTGGACCCCCATATGGAGGGAATTTGCAGGATCAAGCCGGCGAAATCCTGCTTCCAGCCGAAGCAAGTCACTGCTTATCCCAGCCTTTGGCATTCACTGGTAGACAACCTCTAGCGTGGGAGGCTCCTAACTTTCCAAAATACCTTTGTCACTTTTCCTTTTTTAATTTTAATTTAGATCTTTTAATTGTTTTACTTTTTTTTTTAAGGTTAACGATGGGTTTGTTACAGAAATAAAGAAATTAAATAAAAGGGGGGGGGGACACCTTTGCCATTCAGCGTGCTGAAAATCTAGGCCTAAACCCACAGTTAGGAAATAGTCAAGCATTGCACCAAACTGGTTGTTTAATTGCTACCTGGTTAATTCTTCCAGCACTTAAGGGTTATTTTGGCTGCGCCTGGCTTGCAACATTAGCTGGGAAATGAAATCTGAACACTGATCTGGGGATTTGAAAAGCAGTCTGTGCTACGACATTTTCCTACTTGCTGGCCCAGCTTTCAAAAAGTCTTGAGCTTTAGTGTTTGGGAAGACTTTGAACTGTGCCTACGAGTGGTTGAACATGCTGGCCTGTACCTCTTCCTTAACATGCTGGTCTAAACCTTGCTGCTTAACCGTTACAAGCCATGAGCGTTCCTCCATGTATAGGAGCAGTCAATAGGGAAAGCTGAGCATCATCTCAAGTTATGCAGAAAGGGGATGCAGCTGAATGCCACTAAATTTATATTTGACATTTAATACTTTAGAGATGTCGTATTTAAATATTAAATATGTTGATATTTAATCATTTAACAATTTAATATTTATATACAACTTAAATTTAGTGGCATTCAGCTGTATCCCTTTTCTGCATAACAGGAACAATTGCAAAAGACGCCGAGCCTCTGCAGAGCGACTTCTTAAAGATTCAAAGCCGCCCTTTCTCCCCTCCCTTTCAAACGTTCAAATCCGCCATCCGATTATGAAGAAATTGTGCTTTTTTTTTTTTAAAAGACCTCCGTTCGAATCCTCAACCACCCTTCTACTTTCCTTCTCTCATTCCGAATCAGAGGGACTAGAAACTTGCTTTTCTTTTTAACGTTCCGCCAGGCAGCCGAGCACATCCCTGAGTTTTTCATTCCTCCCTTCCCTGAGATTTGATCTGCTTTGAATTGCAATGCTCAAGCTTGCTTTGCATAAAGTCTTCGGTTGAGCATCAGCATCGCTTTCTGCAGAGGCTGGACGATTTTTCTGGTTCCGCACACTGGGTGTGACACAGCCAGCCTCGCCGTGGAGCAAAGCTTGCAAAATCCAGCCTCTGATTCCCAGAGAAATTGTGCATTCAACCCTGAAGAAAGAGCAGATTTTCTGGCTGAACCAGCCAGCCGAGATCTGGCGGCAGATATTCCCTGCGGTGTGGAGAGACGCAAGAGATCAGCTTCCGACGGTCTCCTGCGCAGAGAGGACCCCTTGTCGGATCTTGGGCGAGAGAGGTGAGTGCTGCGGAAGGTGGAACCCTTCCCATCTTTTCGTACCGGGAAGCTGGCTGCAGAGGGATCGGTCCATGAAACCTCCATGTACAGGAGGAGTCTACCTCTGCGTGGACAACAGAGACAGAGGTTCAGATCTTTTCCTGCCCGGCTTTGGGGCTATCTGGAGAGGTCTTCATGGACTGACGTTGTAGTCAGCGATAGATTCGCTTCCCCTAATTTGGGGGGTCGACTGCCTCTCCTGCCACGCACCCCAATAAAAGGCATTCAGGCTAGAAATGCTGGTAGTTGTACTAAAGGCTGTTTAATCAGGTCTGGATCTGGTTTAATTTCTCCCATTCAGCAGGGACATTCTGGAGAGCAGGTACATGGTTTGATGGGGAACAAGGAGCTTCCGGGTTCTGCTTCAACCGTCCCTTTATTCTGATCCATAAGGACTAGAAACTTTGATTGCCAAGGGAGGGGGGGAACCCCTGCTTTGCCAGCTGAACACGCCAGGTTTGATGCTTCAGAAGGGCTGGGAAAACCATCAACCTTCTTGGGAATCTAGAGATATAATGGACCCTCTTTTGCTCAGGACCATGAGGACTAGAATCTTATTTCACCTTTAGGGGAAAGCCATGTAGAAGGCTCCAGACTGGGTTTTCAGGGAAGGTTAAAAACAATCTGGAAAATGACGGCTGAGCCGAATTAGATTAAATTAGACTTAATTGCTGATTTGGTTAGCAAAGCCTCTTCTTCTGTAACTCAGCATCCCCAAAGGATGGTTAACCTGTTCAGCCTTGTTGCCTTCCCCACTGAACGGTCCCAATTTGCCTGCTTGCTCTCTAGTTCTGGGGCAAAAGAATCTCTTATTTTTAATCCGTTCTTCCTGCCTGCTGGGCTTGGGGGAAGATGGGCGTTTGGCCGTTCGGGGCTTGGAGACAGCTTTTCGGCAGCGTTCAGGTTCCCCGGGTAGAAGTGGGGAATGGGGTGTTTCGTTTTGTTATCTGAATGGCACAGGGCTACAAGCAAACTCTGGGGGAACTTAGGAAGACTGGCCAGTATTGGCCCAGCTCGACCGGCTGGGAATGATGGGAACTGACATCCAATTCACCTGGAAGGCACCAGACATCAAAAGACCAGATCAGAATCCTCTCCAGTTAAAATCGGTCTCCGTCCCTTCCTTGCAAGAACATTTCTCCTATTCGATTTCTCCCCCCAGACCACAGATCCCTTGCTTTTCTCCTGCCTCCTTGCCTGCCGAAGAGCTCTGCGGGGCCCCAAAGCCTGCCTATTTTAAGAGGGTTTCTTCCCCCCCCCACTGATCCCTTGCTTTTCTCCTGCCTCCTTGCCTGCTGAAGAGCTCAGTGGGGCCCCAAAGCCTGCTTGTTTTAAGAGGGTCTCGGTTTGTGCTAATAACAGACCATCTGCGTGGAGAAGACCACTCTCCTGGGCAAGGATTTATTCGGACATCGGTTGTTGGGAAGCTCGGTATTTCAAGGGCCCAGACTGTGTTGGCGTTCCTGGCAGAGCGAGAGCATCCTGCAGGCACGAGGCTGCCCTGGGGCGCCTGTGAATCTGCTCCCCAAAATCACAACCTTAGCGTTTGCATGAGTGAACGTGGTGAGTCACCCCGAGGTGCGTTTCAGAGGAACAGCCGTACGAATCTTTTAAGTAAACTAAAATAAATGTGCAATTCTTTCTTCTTTCTGTTCTGCTTTAAGGACACGGCCTTTATCGCACACCGAGAGGTCCTGGGACACCCAGCCATGTATTGGGGGGCCCTCCGAATCCTCGCCTCTTTCTTGTTTCTCCAGCTGAATTTTGCCCCAACAGGTGAGGGTGTGAAATCAAGTGTCAGCAAGTCCCGAGCCCTGCCTCGCCTTGCGCAATTAATTACAAAATGCGCTTCAAAGCTTTCAGCTGGGGTGGCTTGAATTAAACAATCAGGGTAGTGAAAAGTCCACCCCGGGGATTGCTGTGACAGCGACCTGGAAGGGAGCCTCCAAGTTCAGAGGCAGTCTAGCTGTCCTCTAGAAAACGCCTAGAGCTGCAGGCTAAAGTTCCTGCAGTGAAAAATAATAAACTGACATTTTCTTTCTCCCAATTTTCCCTCGATCGGAGGGGAGAACTTTTTCATGGGAGAAGCAAATTTCAGTGAAATGCTTATGAATGGAGTGTAGTTTTTTATATCCGTTTAGCGCCAAGGTGGAAAAGGGGTGTATATATATATTTTTCTCATCGTACAAGCCTCTGTTGTGTCATCCGCATTCTTCTAACTTCCCTTGGCTTTATTTTATTTTTATCCACCAACTTTCCAAGCCACTCCATTCCAACCATCTCCAGGAGCTTCTGTCATTTGGACATGAGAAAAGCCTTTTGGAGACTGGGGAAAGTGGGGCGGACAGGATGGCTGCAAAGGGATGGGAAAGGGGGCCATGGAAACCCCCCCCGGTTAAAAAAAAAAAGATACCATCCAGAGAAGCAGGTTTCCCCAGGAGGCGTCCTGAGAAGAAAGCAGAAAAACGGAAGCCTCGGAAAATGTCTGAGAAACTGTTAAGGAGTTGTTTCCTTCACCTTCGTCAAGCAAAATGCCAATCTCTTTTTCTTCTTTTCCCAGGGGGACGGCCATGTTCTCCCAGGAATTTTGGGCACGGGTCCTTGGTGTGTGAATGTGGTGCCAATTACTGTGACACGTTGGAGCCCGTCTCTCTCCCAGCTTTGGGGTCTTTTGTCAAGTACGAAAGCAATAAAGCCGGGCACCGTTTGGAGCGCAGTGAAGGGCCTCTTCTGGATAATCCTCCCAAGAAAGGTGAGACCAGATTAGACCCACAAGTAAGCTTTTACCCCAAGGAATCCAGGACAACAGGAATGTCAACCTTCATTTTATCCTCATAAGAACCCTGTAAGGTAGGCCTGGAGGACCGAATGCAAAGGATTTGCCCAGTTCGGGTCAAACATTGTCTAATCTGTTGCCTGAACGCAGTTGTTTTTAGACAACGTCCCAACGTCCTATATTTTATCACAATATCGGTCTCTATTTGAGCTGTCGATGAGAAACAGCAAGATGATCCTGCTTCCTCAAATACGTGTAAATATTTAGCCCAAAAGAGCTGGGCTTCTAAACAGTGGAGGACCGAACTGATCCAGGTAGTGCCAAATTTCCTATTTTCTTGGAAAAAACAGAGGACCGACCTGAAACAGGGGCAAATCAGAAAGAGGTTCCTACGGCCCCCCCAAAATTAATTGTTTATGTTTATAACGTTGCTTCCCAAAGGAAAATTCAAGAGCCCCACCCGGAAAGTCTTCACAAAAACGCATATTCTGATAAAAACATCTAAACTCCAACCGTAGATGTCAATGCATTTCCAAAAGGCGATTCGATTTCCGTAGTTTTCACACGCACGCGAAAGGCCGTGCATGACGTGGGTAGCGTGACCACAGTGAAGTGACCAAAATAAAGGACCAAAGTGAGGTTTTGAAAAAGAAATAAATTGAAAGGACCGCTTTTGGAAATAAAGGACTGTCCTTTACAACGAGGGCTGTAGGGTCGCTGTACTAATACGTGATTAAAAAGCTGTCTGAGGTTGGGAAGTTGAGTAAACTTGATGCTGGCATGCAAACCCCAGCAATCTGTTTAACCTTATCACCTCTTCCTTACCACATGCTAAACCTGTTTAGTTTTAATCTTGTTGAGATTTGGGCTGAAGGCTTGGCTGCTTTTTCAAACCCACTTTGCTGGCTTAGCCGCTCATTTTGTACAAACCCAGCAGATGGATCAATTCGCTAGACGCGTTAAGCGTGTTATGCAAATGGGGCAGTTGTAAAAATGGATGAATAATTTAATGGGTGGGTGGGGTGGCTGGGTGAGGGAATCAGCAAGTGTCATCCTGCATAAAATTGCTTTTTTCTCCCCGTTCTTTTCTTCCTTTCACTAGACGACCTGGTTCTGCAACTCAAGGTGTTCCAGAAATATCAAAAAATCAAGGGCTTTGGCGGGGCTCTCACGGATTCGGCTGCCATTAATATCCTGGCCTTGTCCGCAAAGAGTCAAAAAAACCTGCTCAAATCTTATTTCTCCACTGAAGGTAAATAAGATCCAACAGGAAAGCAGGGCTGGGTTGCCCGGGGTTAATTACGAATTCACGCCTTTGATTCAGTAGTTCCTTGAGTTATCTCAGTTTATGTCACTTTATTCCAGCTTTTGGAGTGGGCAGAGCTCCCAAAGGGATTGTTTTGGCGTGGCTGGAAAATCCCAGTAGATTAACCAGGTCTATACTGGGACAACTGGTCTCTTCGCCAGGGCGGTGCTGAGACCGGAGGTTGCTAGCCGTGGTCCTGAAACCCATTGACGAAATGTAGAGGTCTTGTCCAAGGTCCTGAAAGGCCCCCAATGTAGATGCAGGCTGGGTGGGGCCCTTCCCTTTTATTCACCCTTCTGCTGCATGAACTACAGCTCCCATCATCCCCCATTGGGGTCTAGGTTGGCCGAAGAGGTGGAATTCAGCAATTTGGACATCTGGAGGTCTCAGAGCGGTCTGGACCCCGGGATCTCCTTTCGCAGCTTTATGGCTAACCCCACTCTCCATGTCTTCCGCTGCGCTCTTGACTCAGGGATCGAATATACCTTGGTCCGCGTGCCCATGGCGAGCTGCGATTTCTCAGTGAGGCTCTACACATACGCAGACGTGGAGGACGATTTTGAGCTGAACAACTTCAGTCTAACTGAGGAAGATATCAAAATGAAGGTACGTCGTCCAGGGCCGGTAGATATAGGAATGTGGAAACATCCAGAATTCAGATTGGCCTCTAGGAGGACATTTATCCAGATGAAGGCCTTGGGCTGGAAAAGTATTTTTAATCAAAACTCTTTTAAAGTTAAAAATAAAAAAACTCGGTTAGACGCGAGCCAAGTCCACATGTGTATGGGGAAGGCCGTGGCTTGAAAAAGAGATCTGTTCACCTAAGCAGTTGAAGGCTTAGGTGGGGGTCATGGGAATTGTAGTCCTCTGGAGGGATCAAGGTGGGGAGCACTGAATTGGATGTGCAATGGGGGACGGAGGGGACGATGGCAGAAAGGGTTCCTTGAACGGCCTCCTCATTGCCACAAGATTAACTAAGGTTGAGCTTAATGCGTAGGTAAGACGTGTTGAGCTTAACGTGTAGGTAATTTTTGAATTGTATTGTATTGTAAAACGGTCCTCTGTCTTCCCGCATGCCAGATCCCCATCCTTCAACAAGCCCAAGCAGTGGCTCCCCGTCCTCTCTCCCTCTATGCCAGTCCCTGGACGTCTCCAGTGTGGATGAAGACCAACGGAGCCATGACTGGTCGAGGCACCCTCAAGGGGAAACCAGGGGACAGATATCACAAGACCTGGGCCAACTATTTTATCAGGTACGTGTGCAGAGAGGGGCAGTTTCTCCTCATTCCAGGCTGCGCCGTCTGATGGCTTTCCAAGACCAGTGGGGCAAGCTGAAAATCCATGCGAGACTGTTCTGAAGGCTCCCTGGTCGCCCTGCTCAGATAGACTGCTCTTGCACGGGGAGGGGAGGAAAGACTCCCAGGTCTTTGATTTGCTCCTTTCCAAAACCAAACCAGTGCAGCTTTGCCTGACCAGCTGCCCACCCTAAGCCTCTGGGCTGGCCAGTTGCCCCTCCTGCTTTGCATCTCGGATTGCCCAACCTTGCTGGCACGTTAAGCGTTGGAATACATGTTTAGGCTGTGTATGTCTAACTGCTGCTCGCGGAAACCCTGCTTCTTTTCCTGCTTCCAGCATGACTTGCTTTTTTAAATCCTGAAAGCATGGTATTTCTCAGTGGCTGGGGTACAACGCAGAGACCTAGCTAGGGCGTTCATCTCCTCCTTATCAGCTACGCAGAAGGGGAAGGGGATTCGGCCTCTGGTTAGCCCCTGCTGGCACCAAATATTGATTTAATATTCCTTTGGTCTCTCCTCCAAAGCCAGAAGCAGTCTATCTGAACGTTAATTTCTGCAAGAAATGGCTTCGGCCGGATCCAGCAATTTCACCCCATTCCCTGCTCCCCCCCTCCCCAGGTTCCTCGATGAATACGCCAAGTATAACTTGACTTTCTGGGCTGTGACTGCTGGGAACGAACCCACGGCGGGGGACCTTGTCTTCTACCCCTTCCAATGCCTTGGCTTCTCCCCTGAGCACCAGCGGGACTTCATTGCGCAAGATTTGGGCCCTGCTTTAGCCAACAGTACATACAAGGGCATCGAGTTGATCATTCTGGATGACCAAAGGGTGATGCTTCCTTATTGGGCTGAAGTGGTAAGTTGGCAACCGCAACATACAGAAGGAAGCTGACCTTTTAAAAAAAAAAAAATGCTTTAGGGTTAGGGTAAACCCAACTCCAAACCCTAAATATACTTTGGGTCCACCCCATTTTCAAACACCCTGCCTTTTCTTTTCAATTCCTCCCTGTGAATGATTCGAGAAAAGTCTGTTTAACTGCATAAGCTCCATTATACAGCTATTTATCCAGGCAGAGAAATGTTGCTGCTCTTAAAACTTGGACGGATCAACTCTTTGATAGATGGATCACCTGCTTTCCCACCAGGAAATCAAGCACAGAAACATAGCGTTGTGGACTTGGAGGTGGATTTGATCCTACGTTTGCACGCTTCTGATCCAACACCTTAACCCAACCAGCTCTCCTTAGCCCACGGCCTTACAGATTCCCCAAATGCCCCTTAATTGCATTGCTGAACAACCCCATTTCTGGGTTCATGCATTGAATTTTATTTTATTGATTTGCTGCCAACGATCAAGAGAAAGGGAAAGGAAAAAAGAAGAAAATGCATATGCCAGCGAGAGTTGCCAGGCTCATTAAAAACCCTAAGTAATAAAATGAAAGAATTTGCAAGGGAATGCAAGGGTTAAACCTGAACGACTAATCAGTCAACTGGGTTTGCAGAACAGGCAAAACCAGTGAAAAAACCAACCGACCAAGATTTGGCTGTTGGCTTCTCTGAACCCAATTTAGGTGACTTTGCATTTCCTCAAAGCAGCCTCCAAATGTGTCTTCCATTGCGGGGAGGACTTCTTTAATCCGACACTATTTTCCACTTTCCACCATGAGGTCTAGAAAACTGTCCAAGGGGACAGGCCAAAACCAAACCTGAAACCTGCAATGGTAAGAGTTGGTAGTCCTCACACAGTCAGGGGAAAAAAACAGGATGGCAAAGCCCCTCCCTGAAAAAAACAGAGGAGGCAAAAAGAAGAAAAACATCAGTTCCATAGAGTGGGAAGAGAAAAACGATGCAAGGGGGTTGGAATGTGGTTTCCCGGTATGGGGCTTGTTCTTCAATCACAACACTGCAGAAAATGTTTAGTTATGGCTTCCTAACTTTTTTCCATAAATATCATCAGAAGTTCTTGGGTTTCTTGCAAGCCAACCCATTTCTCTTGCGGTCTGCCTATTGAGTGACACCAGAAAAATAATCCTTCGGTCTGATTATTTCTCCAGGTTCTCAAAGACCCCGAGGCTGCCCAATACATCAACGGGATCGGAATCCACTGGTATCTCGATTTCTTGGCACCTATTGATCTGACACTCTCCATCACCCACCACCTCTTCCCGAAATATTATCTCATCTCCACAGAGGCCTCTACCGGGTCCTATTTTTGGGAGCCTCGTGTGGTCCTGGGTGGCTGGGATCGTGGCAGCAAGTACAGTCACAGCATCCTTACGGTACGGCGGTGTAATGGGATGTGGGAAAGACCTTGAGAGGCAGGGAGGGGGAAGAGACGCTGCCAAGGAACGGTCAGATAAGAGGCAGCTTAGCCCTCGGCTGCATAACGGGCGGAGAAAGAGACTCAGAAGGGACCCTCCCTAATTTCTCAGGCTGTGAAGGAGACTGGGGGGGAGGATTGTACTTTCAGACTTGCAAGATTCTGTCCATGTAGCCTACGATAAAGTAGAATTAGCTCATCTGGTCGTGGTTCCTGACTGGCCTACCTGGTAAGGCTGACAAGCGGGGACCGCTGTCACCGTTTGGAAAAAGGGGGACAGAGAAACGACGTCGTTTTGCCTTCCTCCGCAGAACCTCAACAACTACGTCACAGGATGGACGGACTGGAACCTCGTTTTGGATATGCAAGGGGGACCCAACTGGAGTAAGAATTACGTGGACAGCCCCGTGATCGTAGACAAAGACAAAGACGTCTTCTACAAGCAGCCCATGTTCTACCATATGGCCCATTTCAGGTGAGTGAGATTCGGCTTGCCCGTCCCGGGAAGCGCCTTCATTCAGAATAAGAGCAAGCACGTTATGTATTTTTAGTAACGTTTCTGGCTCACCCCCCACAACATTATATCTTCCCAACAGCCCTGCAAGGTAGGTCTGGGCTGGCGTCATCCAGCCGTGGTTTGTTTCTTGGTGAAACAGGGGTCTACTCACCCAACCCATCTGGTTAGTAATCCAGAACATGGTTTAATTAAGGAACTTAGGTTAAGGAATTTGTGTGAATTGATCTGGGGGGGATTTGAACTTGGGTTTGCGCCCGAGTGAAACTGGGGAACTCTGGGGGTTCTGGACTAGGGCTCCCATGAGCGTTAATTGTGGCAAAATCTAAAATAGCTACAGGAGCACTGGGGCGCCTTGCTCTGACCCACTGTTTCTCAGCCTCCAAACTTTAAGATGTGTGGACTTCAACTCCCAGAATTCCCCAGCCGGCAGAATTCTGGGAGTTGAAGTCCACACACCTTAAAGTGGCCAAGGTTGAGAAACACTGCCCTAGATATTTACTCTAAAGAAAAGTATCGGCCTCAAACACTCGATTACTGGCCCTAGAAAGATTTCTAAGGTGGGAGAAAGCCTCTTGGGGCTATTCACTGCCTGGCGAACGGTCGATTTAGGATTCTCCATGCCCGTTTCCCATTTTGGGAGTGTGCCCACCCGGTCTCAAAATTCCAAGCGTGTCCCTGCTGTAAAACGTTAGAAAGCATTTCTCCCCGTCATTTTTTCAGCCTCCTTTCGTAAGTGAGGAGCTGAGTTTAGGATCAAGCTTGGATTGAATGCCCCAAGCACCCTTTCTGTTTCTTTTGAGTAATGCCCACCTCTGGGTCTCTCTCCCCATGTAGCAAGTTCCTCCCCGAGGGAACTCAACGCATTGAAATCCAGAAAAACAGTTGGAGTAA